ACAAGAATCCAATGGCTTTTATGACAGCTGTGTGAAGTAAAGTATGTTCTTCCAAGTATACTTCTTATCATAGAAAGTTTGTGTTGTCTTCAGCCATTGGTGAAGGTTAGGCAAGATGTATATACATAGTCGCATCGAGCTGAAAATGATCAAGAACTCTCAGAGCATTTAGATGCAATTGACAAAAAAATCAACATCACAAAGAAGACAAAGGTAAAGAAATTACTTAGTATGGCTAACCCTCAACACCCAAAGGAGAGGTTTGATATCATAATAGAGATTATTTGTCATGAAAGTAAGTATTGTTTGCGTTTACATGAAGGTTACTCACAAAAGTTATTTCTTAGTGGGCAAGACTCCAGATGAGATTATTTACAACATCTCAAAGTCAAAGCTTACATATAAGGAACAGATACACATTCTAAACAACCTCAATAGCAGACTCAAGGAAGGAGAAAAAGGTTTGGACAATATAATGGAAACTGTGATGAGGAGGACCATCTACATTTCACAAATTATATATGAAGGAGAGATGTTTCTAGTGCCTTTCATAGGGGATGATCCTGAGCAACTTCTATTCAAGGACTTTGTTACTATTGAGCTTACAAAACTTGGAGAAAATTGGCTGCCAAAGAAGGCCACAAGCACGACTCTATTTGATAAACAATTTGGCCAACCTTAGTTTATGTGATTTTTCAAAAGTTTCAACCATATCTAGAATAAGATCTTGAAGAAACATCTGGCATCGCTCTTGAAGCACATGAGGCAATTCATCTTTAGTAACAACATCTAGAACATTATCTAGAAGAAAGATCTCTTATTCAGTACTTGGGGCTACAAAAGAAAAAGCCTCACAATGATTGTTGTGTGGAGGGAAGGGTGGAATGTTGGTAGAAGTTGGAGACGGAGGTGGAGACTCATATAAAATGCATGGGGGCCAAGTGCGAGTAGCAATAACATTTTCCCTAGCCATTCCTACACTCTAAACAAATTGAAATTTCAATGTTGAAAGCATCCCTTGTTGGTATTTATACTAAGAAAAGATCTAGGGGTTCTTGAAAGTTTAAATTGTCAGTCTCAAAAATGGGACTTCAGAATTATAACATTGTCAAAACCACTTGTATATATAATAATATCTTTATACATGCTAGAATAATATCATTCTCGAAAATATAAGATTCTCCACTTTACTCATAAAGAATTAACCTTTTGAAAAAACTATGCATGACTTTCACATTACATTAAAGGGTGGCTTAAATATCCTATATTCAGCACTTATTGATGCAGTGTTCACCAATGGAATATTGTTCTCCACCATGAAATCATAATAGCTGTGTGTTTTTAATTCTTTCTTGATTTTCTTATACATCCACACGTGCATACCTTCTAAACTTGCTCTTGGGCATTTGCAACAATGCTCAATAAAATTTACCAAACCTATGCAACCATTTGTTTTGTTTAAATAAAAGTTGCATATAAGACACTAAAGATAATATGTCTCTACATTAAGCTCTCTTGCCATATCTAGAGCAAGATCTTGAAGAAAATATTGACATCGCTCTTGAAGCATTAGAAGCAATTCAACTCTTTTAACAACATTATAAGGAAGGAATTCTTGTTTAGTTGCAATCAAGGTTGCAAATAAAAGAGCCTCACAATAGCTCTCAAAATGAAAAAGAAGATTGTTGCGTAGAGGTGAAGGTGGATTATTGGTTGAGATTGGAGATGAAGGTGAAAACTCATATGAGAGGCCTCTAGGACCAAAAGTAAATTTCTTCCTAACCATTGCAATACACAAGAAGAATTAAACTTCCCAGCAATAAGAATTATTTGATTAATATACTATATTTCAATCTCGGGAATGATGTTTTATTATGACATGACAATATATTGAATCATAATTGTCAGTCTTAGTAATTACAACCTACTATAAGAGACAAGTGACTATAGAGTTCTAGAACCTAAAAACTAGCACATAATTAATACGTAGCCTTATTTTATATAGCTGGCCTACCATATATAATAATGGCAAATGCACACAGGCACACGAATATGCCTTTTTGCAAGATTACCTTTCAATCCCAAAATCATATATAGACTTAACTCTTTGATTTGTCTACATCATATATACTACACATTTATACTCTTTGCAAAGACAAAACATATCGAAAGAAATAAAATATATATAAAAAAATTTACTTTTTTTTAATAATATTTTAATGGATTACAAAAGCCATTGAAAGGTTTATAGAGTGGATTTATTAGTGTTTTCCACTATGTTGTCCATTTCTTCTTTTCTCTTGCTCTAGACTGTTATTTTGGAAGTAACAGGAGCATTTTTATCAATAGTGATAGTGGTCTCCACATTTCCGGATGGGTAATAAGGACCAGGTGTGTAATATAAAGATTGTGGTAGTGAAACAAAATTAACATTTTCACATTTTTAAATGTTAGAAATACTTATAAATTTTTTGTCTTCCTTGCTTCCCATCTCTGTAAAACCTAAAAAATGAACAAGTGAATCAGTGTTTCGAATTATTTATATATTTCTGGTCAATTGTTGAAATGTTAAAATGTTGAAATGTACAATAGAAATTTTAGGTTCATTTGAACTTCAATATTCCCATTTTTATTTGAGACCAATAAAGCTCAAAAATTTCTATGGGTTTAGACGAACTTCTAATTCTAAAAATAGTATTTTATTGTATAAATTGCATTAGAAAGATTCAAAAATAGAAATTTCTCTAAACCATTGATACTTAAATTCATAAATTTCAAGTTCACCAAAGAATAACATATTTCTAACTTAATATTTCCTTATAAGACTTATAGTTGACTATGTTGACTAATATTGACTTGAGCTAAATTGAGCTCAACTTGTGAGCTCAACTCAACTTTGGACCATCCTCAAATGTGTTACTCTCGTTTAGCTTTTGCTTCAGCCACTACCACGTGGCACCCTTTCAGCTCCACTTTTGAGGCTTTGGGATTTGTGTCTCACATAAACTTTGTAAAGACAATATTGTTCTAGATGCGTTGAGTCGTCAGGCTTAGTTCTAGGTAATGTCGGCAATTAGTTCTTATTGGTTGGAGGATAGAAGTGATACGTTGGCAAAGGCAATATTGCACCATGTAGAGTTGTTGAAGTAGAACTTTGCTAGTGAAGCGGCAAAATTGCTCGCACTAATGAAAAACTTCACTTCTTACTTAAGGATGGGTTTATTTATTATAAGTAAGAAAGATTGTATCTTTTGTCCAAGGACTTGTGATAGTTGATTCTAAAACATCATGATGTTTCAACAATGGAACATAGTGGTAAATGAAAGATTCTTGCCTCATTAAAAAAGGGATTTTTTTTGTTTAGTATGGAAGGTGATATAGTGGATTATGTCCATTTTTGCTCTATAAGCGAAGAACTAAGAAGCAAGCTAGGAAATCATAATGCATTCTAGCATTGGTATGGTCATTTTAGAGTGTGACACTTGATTTTGTCACTTGCTTATCAAAGTCTAAAGGTTATAGTACTTTGATAGTAGTTGTGGATTGATTATCAAAGATTGCACACTTCATTCAAACTATAGAAATAGTGAATACAAAGTAAATGGTAAAGCTCTTTTTTCATAAAGTAATACAAGTTCATAGTCTTCTCGAATATATGATCTTGAATAACGATTTGAGATTTATAGGGAAGTTTTGGGGCACACTGATCCAATTATTTGGTTCTAAGTTAAAATTTAGTATAGCTTATCATCCTCAAATTAATAGGCAAACCGAACATATGAATGCTCATATTAAAGATTATCTACAATACTATGTTGCGATGGACCAACACAATTGGGTTGAGTATTTGAACACAATAGAAATCTATTACAACAACATATTTCAAAACACTATTAATTGTTCTCCATAGAAGATGCTACAAGGAAATGCTTGTGGAGTTCCTTAGCAAATTCTTATATTAAAACCAATGTCTAAAGTGTTGGTCCCAACTATTGAGACTTATACAGAATAATTGCACTAAGGTTGGTCTAGGGTTATTAAGGCAATGGGCAAACCTTAAGATAGGTATTGACGTGATAAAACTCAACTCTTGCTTCATCACAATGAAAACCTAAAACACATCATAAAGATATATTCTACCAAGTAGGAGATTAAGATCCTATCTTCCTGAAACTAGCATGTTAAGGGGTTTTTATCTTGGAAGTTATTACCAAGATATATTGGGCCCTACTAGGTATTAAAATGGTTTGGTGATGTATTCTATAAATTGGATCTTTCAAATGAGTTATCCTATGTATATGATATATTTCATGTCAATTTACTAGCACTATATCATGCTTGTATAGAATGCTCTACAATCATTCATCTCCCACCAGTAGTTGTTAATGGTGAACTTGAGTATGAAGTTGAAGCTATTTTAGTTAGTCGTTGGACTAAACATTCTAAACGTCATGAGTACCTAATCAAATGGCATAGTTACTTAATGTGTAAATCTACTTGGGAGCCTTTTAGTAATCTTACACATGCCCATGAGCTTGTCATAGAGTATAAAAATAGTAATAAAGAATAGCTTTTGTATCCCTTACAATAAATCTTGTAAATCAATAATGTAATACATTTCTTTAAATTCCAAAAATTGGTCAACAAGATAGTAATCTATAATAGTTATCTTTATGGTTATCTATGGTTATAGATTAAACCCAGGTATTGAAGTTTAGAAGTTAACTTGCTAAAAATGACCTAAAACTAATGAATAAGGCTTTTGAAGGGGCATAGTCTCATTTGCTAATTTATAGAAATCTTTTGGATGGGGTTGATTTTTATTCAGGGAGTTGGGGCTCTAGCTCTCTCCCTATATATCCTTATTAACCCAAATTAAATTTAACATTTATATTTAGCCAGATGAACATAAAATTAAAACTCCTATATGTTTCTTGTGATTCTCTGTAAATTGGTCTAGGTGACAAGAATGCCAATCTTCATCAACATTAACAAACACATGATCAAGACTTGTTGGAAGTTCATGAACTTGACACATGTGGAGGAGAACGTTAAGCCCCACTCCTGCACCATCACCAAGCTATGAGCTTTCATTGCCACCACCTCTGCTCAGTCCACCAATCGATGAGTTACCCTTGCCACCAACACCAAGTTACAACCCCTGTTCCTGGCAACCTATACTGTGCAGGGATGCAGGTCATCAAGGAACCCGTATGAAACACCTGCATTCCAGCTGCACCTCCAGCCGTTTGATGAAGGCGCACGACTACAAGTTACTGTGAAGGTATGACCAGTAGACGGGCCTAAAAGGAGAACGATGTGACAATGCCGTTTGTCCTTCGAGGGATCCATGTATGAGTTTCTTAGAATCTGGAAAACAAGACAGTGTCCACCAAGACAAAGGAAAAAATAACTTCCCTGTCATTCTCATTTCTTGTATTGCACGGTGAAGTGCCTTAACCACAACTCGTACACCACCATGTGGAAGGCGTCATAAGGCCTGGGCGGTGTATGCCATTCAAATCTATCTTGAACCTGTCGAAAAAGGCTGGCAATAAGAACACGAGAAGAAAAAAGAAAGAAAGAAAAGAAAAACAACCTCAACGAGTCCCCTGTGCAACGATAAGTA